ATTTGATTCTTTATATGCCTGGCAAGCATATAAAGAATCAAATGTGCCCAATTATGGGTTTGTTTTGAAATTTTAATCTGATGATGGCGCTGTTGTCTTGCCGAAACGTAATATCAAATAAACGATACAAACATATTTATATGATTGGCAAGCATATAAAGAATCAAATGTGCCCAATTGTGAGTTTGTTTTGAAATTTTAATCTGATGATGGCGCTGTTGTCTCGCCAAAACGTAAGATGAAATAAACATTTTTATTTCACATTTTACCTGAAACGCAGCAGTGCAGAACCGAGGAACGAAAAAATATAATTCTAGTTAATGTGTATATTGTGATAATTAATCAAACATGATTAGGTACAGGCTGTAGCCGCGTTAATTGAGTCAGTATATACATTTCTATATAACATTCTAGAGTTAATCGCAGCAATCAATTTAGTTTTTACTATTATTGCATTTTTGACGATAAAGTCAGAGTTGTGTATCTCTGCTGAAATTATTCATTCTTAGTGCCTACGTCAATCATTACGTATTTAATGGAAAACCTTTGAAACTATCCACTTCCCCAACCGTTTATGCGATCTATCAATTGCAGTAATTACTGAAACAGTTATACACATGTACAGGTGAAATTTGTGTTTAAATTATTTATCAAATATAAGCAGAGCGATTTATTGGCAACATTATTGTTTACGTTTCACAAATGGCAAATAAAGAGCAATTTAAAAAGGTGTGTTTCATTTCGGTTCCCATTAGATCATGTAATCGTTTGTCGACTTCAACTGGAGCAGCTTTTTATGAATGTCGATAATCTGCAATGGAGATCGTAAAGTCGCTTACATAAACTCATCAACTTATTTCCGGCTTTCAGTTGCTCGATTTACTTTAAGCGCTAATACGTACAGTTTGAATCTGTTTTCCCGATTGTTGCATTTCACTGCGAGGAGAGCGATTATTGTTGCCGCTAATTTCCATTTCTCTTAATTGCTCCACCAGGTCGTTAATCACTTTGTCTAAGTTAATGTGGGGTGTTTTAATGGGCCTTTTATTGGCAACATTTGAGTCCTGAAGGAACGACTGCAGTTGACTTGCTAAGTCGCTTCTACTTGGAATTCGAGCGTATTCTAGAAACGGAAATTTATTCCGGGTGTTACTATTTCGAAAAATCGATGAGTCACCTGGATAGGTAGCATACGGAGCCTCAGATAGTCGACTGGCGTCATCGCTATCATAGAACGTTTTTGGGGTTTTTGGTGGCTTCTGCCGCCACGAAGACAAAGCTCTCAAGTTCCTAAAAAAGCTTTTTCGGTTTAATTTTTTTAGCAATCATTCCAGACCTTTCTTGTTGCAAAATTCGCTCTTGATCGTTCAACAGGATCCTCAGCTTGTTCAGCCAGCCCTCTTTGAGTACATTCTCGGGGATGCGCTCCAAGTTGCTTCTGGCTCCAGGTTTTTGAAAATATGACTTGAGCGATATTTTCGAGTCGCTCTTGCTGACGCTGTGGATAATTTTCATTGGCTCCTCCGCCTTTTTAGGGCCGTATTCAAGTTTTTTAACGCGCAAATTGGGATTCAGCCCACTGGGGTCTGGGATGTTATTCTGAATCGTTTCAGCAGATTTCAGGGTTTGCTTACTGAGCTTATGAGCTGCAAATTATAACAGTCTTAGCAAGGACAATATTAAATTGGAGTAATTCGACGACTCTTACCGCTATAAAAAGCATCTTTAGACACTTTGCCGCTTTGTTTCATTGGCGCTATTTCCGATTCTTTTTCGTGGATCTTCAGCAGTTTCTCTTCTTGGGCTTCCATGTATTTCTCTTTTTCCTTCAGCTGCATTTTCAGTTTCTCTAGCTCCGCACTGGCGTCTGAATGATTTTCCGCGTTTTTCGCACACTCTATTTCGTACTGCTCTTTTAAGAAGGTTTTGATGGATTTGGTGCCTTCTTGGACCACTTTTTTGCTGGGGTAAGCCAGGGGATTCTCCGCCACTTGGAGAGCTTTTAAGTTCGTCGCCAGCCCTGCGAATAAACATTCAGCTAAATTGGCAACTTCCAGGCAGTTAACGCTTACCGAGCTCGTTTGGCAGCTTGGTAATGTTGTTATTAGTCAGAAGCAAATGCTCCAAATGCTCATGATGGGCGATGCTTTTGGGCAAAGCTTCCAGCTGGTTGTTCCGCAGATCGAGCCACATCAAGTTGGGCAATCTGTAGAAGAAATTCTCGGGCAAACTGACCAGAAAATTCCTCTCTAAGAAGAGCATTTTCAAGTTGCTCATGTCCAAAATCGCGTCGGGAATCACCTTCAAGTTCGCCTTGGAGTAGTCGGATATGATTTCGAACGCGGACATTTTTCTATTTGGAATTTAATCTGTTTAAGAAATTCTAACCATCAAATGGGACACCAGCTTGAAGGGTTGTCACCGCACTGTTTGCTTTGAAGGGTG